TTTCCCAGCAACGAGCCACTTGCATAATAACTTTTTTGTCAATTTCTATATTTAGAGAATAAACCAGAAGGGGACTCTGCTTGGATCAGCCATGACCTCACAGTATCCAGGCAACGATTTGCAGAGGGAAGCTGGGCAAAATAGCGAGTTCTGGTGTCCAGAAAATCCTTTCCTGGAAGCAGACAGCCACCTCCCATTCCTGCTTTGTGCACAGCCCAGTTACTGGGACAGTTTGGGTCACCCCCAGTGGGCAGGTGCCCTGCCATCAGGCTGCTCTCCAGTAGAGAAGGGAGGTGCCAGAGGCCCTTCCCTGAGGAGAACGGGAATGGAGCAACTCACAGACACTCAGCACTTGGCTGTTGGTGCCTATAAATAACATGGAGTCTGTAAGACTGTGAGCAAAGGGTCTTTTGATAGTCAGTTAGGCTGAGGTTCAAACAGCAGCTCAATTGGCCACTCTGTATTATAAGTATTTACTAAAATTTCCATGGCCAAATACAGGTGGAAAACAGCCCTGGGGGAACTGAGAGCAGGTACCTGTGAAACCCCAAGTGCAGGGTGTACTGTGTGAGCACCAGGTTTTCTGTCACCAGGTTGTAACTGTTTGCAAACTCCGGCTCTTGCTCACTCAGAGCAGGGATCAAACATGTTTCTTTCTCCAAACCTGGAAGGAAAAGCAGCTCTGTGTCAGGCCCTACCCAGCAGTGCTGATAAGAGAAGAGCTCGAGACGGCCTCTGCTGAGGACACAAAAGGGCTCACAGTGATGCTGGCAGTGCTTTATTTGTATTCAGCTCTCTCCTTACTCCTCTCTAATCGCAGCTGTAACTCTCCCTATACTGGCACCCATTAAGAGGGCACTACTGGGAGAGGTGAGGACCTGAGGAGATCCCCTTTCCCGTTCCCCTGCTCCCCAAGGTTTGGCTGTACCTTTCATGTGTACGTTCTTACTCCTCCTCTCCTCTTCATTCAGCTCCTTCAGGGCACAGTAGGTAGGGTTGAAGGTTAGCAGCCTCGGAGATTTGGGTTTGCAGAAGGGCTGACACAGCTTCAGGAGGGCAGCCCCCAGGTTGAGGAAGAAGGCATCTGAGGCATACATCTGGAAGAAGATCTCTGGCATCTGGTTAGCCCAAATTTTGGTGCGGCCCGCATTCGCGTGGAGGCAGTTTCCCAGCCAGGAGAGAATCCTGTGCTTTGTCTCTGGAGACAACTGCAACAGGTTCTTCAGAATCTGGTAGATCTTCTCATGGAACTGGGCCATGAACTGTTACAGGGAACAGAATACAGTTGAGGGAGTCTAGCACCTTGAGTTATGGCACCGGTGTCTGTTCCGCAAATGCCACCCAACCCTTTTCCCAAAGCTCAGGCCAAGGACTTTGATAGAACACAGACATGTGTCACAAACACCTGAGGCAGCTGGCAAAGCCATTCCCATGTTTCAGCTGGAGACTCCAAAGCAGTTTTGGGACTTGCCTAGTAACAAGTCAGGTTGTTACAGAGCCAGTGGTGGAATTCAAGCCCTGATACCACGTCTTGAACCCTCAGGCAACCAGAGGCCACTAAACATTGCGGGAAGCAGTACTGCCCTGCTTCACTCACCTGATGGATGTTGGATTCCTGCACTTTGATCTCCTGTGGGCTGGATCGGGATGGATTCAGAAAGTAGCCGTGGTTTTCCACCACGCCAGGGGTCTTCAACAAGCAGGAGATGTTTAAAATGGCACCAAGCAAAGTCTTCTGGTACATCTGCCCATTGCTGGGATCCTTGGGCTGGATGTAGCCTGCAAAAACCTGGGGAACACGTCGGGACATGCTGACAGTTGTAAAAAATCCCAGTAAAAAACCCCTACAAACTGATGGGTTTGGGACAGGCTATGAGAAAGGAGCAGAGGGGTAGGAGTACACACACCAGGTGTTGTACCGTTGGTTTGGCCTCTGCAGGTCCTGGATAACTCAGGAGCTAAATGAGCTCCCCAGAGGGGCTCCTGCCCAGAGCGAGGCACCCACCTTGGCTATGTCCTTCTGCTTTGTGAAGTAGAGGAGCACATCGAGGTATGTGTACAGCAGGATCTGGCAGAGGTCCAGGTCCTTGATTCTCCCCAACAGGATGTCAAACACAGGAACCATGACCTCCCCGAACGTCCGCACCTCCTCATCCATCGTTAAGGCCTCTATGACCTCCTCAAGGAACTCTGTCATGTCTTCAAACTCTGGCAGGGTGTGACACAAGGCTGTTACTCACAACGCTACAACAGCCAGACTGACCCAAACACAGCCCTCCCTTTTGGCAACTCCACATGCCCCAGGGCAGCCTCGCAACACTGAGCCAGCAGCACAGCTCGGCCACACTTACGTGCTCCCCTCAGTGCCTCCAGCATCAGGTCCACCAGCTGCTCGTACACATTCTGGTTGACATAGATCTCCGGGGTGAGGAGCACGGTGCGGGTGTTGGACACCGTCAGGTTGCGGCAGCGCACAGCGAAGGGCAGCAGGTTCTCTGGAACCTTGGTGATCTGTGCAGGGAGGACGGGGCAGTGCTGGGGCCCGGGTTGTTACACCCTCAGCTGGGTCACCCCGGAGCGCAGGGCCGGGTGACAGAGCTGCCCTCCCCCTCGGCAGGGTCCCCCCTGCCCTGCCCACCTCCTCCCGTGCCCTGCGGAAGCAGGCATAGAGGTAGCGCAGGATGTGCCGCTCCCCGGCGTCGCGGTCGGCAGAGAGGTTCTGGGTGCTGGCACAGGTCATGTGGATCAGGTGGCTCCCGGGCTCCGGCAGCAGCAGGCGGGTGAACAGGGCCTGGAAACCAGAGCAGAGAGGGGCACAGTGACACAGCCCCAGCTATTCCCCCCCCCCCCGAAAAAGGGAGCCCCACCCCACACAGGCTGATTGATTCCTGCTGGGAAGGGTTCTCTCTAGCCCTTGTTAAGTAGCAGAGTGCTGGGCTGAGAACCCTGTGCAAATCCTCCAGTCTCATATGGAGCAACAGCAGCCCCACTAGGAGTCATTTCCACTGAAAACCTCATCAGAAATGGCTGACACGGCCACAGACAAAGCCAAGCATGTGTGCAGACACTGATCACTGAGTTTTGTTTGGTTTTTGTTCCCCTCCCCACCCCCAGTGGATCTGCAGGGCAGCAAACCCCTGCAGCCTCTGGGAGGAAGGTCTGGATTCCCCAAATTCTGCACCTTTCTCAGCTTCGTACCCCAAAAACCCCACAGACGTTTCCAGCAAAGCTGCGAGAGGCAGTTCCACGCCAGACTTTGGGAAGGGATTTGGGACGTGTCCCATGTGCACTGTGGGGAATCACACTCAACTCCTGTGGCCAGAGCTTGCAGAAGGCCGGGGGCCCCACCTGCTCCACGTTGTCCATGTCCAGCCAGTCCTGGTCATCCAGGTCCGCAGCCATTTCCTCCAGGTAGACGCAGCGCGCCGGGATCCCATTCCCGCTCTTCATGCTGGGGTCGCCTGGAAAGGGCAGAGGGACCCGTTCCATCCACAGGGATGGGGACCCTGCAGGCAGGACCTGCCTCTGGCACAGCCCCAGCTGTGTCCCCTCCCCACTGTGCCCTCCCATGTCAGGGCTGAGCCAGCCCACCCGTGGGGTTCCCAGGCTCACTGTTGTCCAGGGTGATGAGGAAGATCCTCTGGATCATGTGGTTGATGTTGAGCTGCTCGCAGAGCTCCCGCTGCGAGCGGAACGAGCGGCTAATCTCGGCCACCGAGTAGTCGCAGTCGTCCAGGCTCTCGGAGACGCTGTTGTCAGAGTCATCCTGGCTGATGGACGTCTCCTCGCCTGTACGGCACAGCCCTCAGCGCCCCGAGCGACAGCCCTGCCCCTGGGGCAGCCTCGCCCCCTCCCCAAGGGACAGCCCTGCCTGGGGAAGCCCCTGCCCGGGGACAGCCTCGCCCCCCACCTGTCAGCTGCCGCAGCTGCTGCTGCTTCTGGATGGCGGCGAAGTGCTTGGCGGCCGCAACAGAGCCGAAGAGGGCGGCGAAGGGATTGCTGGAGATGCTGTTGTTGTTCTCCTGGTCAGTCATCTCCTCTCAGGGCCGCGCCATGCGGGGGGGCCGGGGCAGGGCTGCAGGGAGAGCCGCCGGCAGGGCTCGGGCGCGCTCCCCCGGTAGTGGCGGGCCCGTCCCGCTCGGTGCGGGGGCTCTGGTTCAGGCCCGGCCCCGCTCCGGCCCCGCCGGTCCTGTCCCGGCCCCGTCCAAGTCCCACCTCGACCGCCGCCGGAGAGCGCTGCGCGTCACCGCGTCGCACCGGAAATGACGACACACGGCGCTCCGGAAGTGACGCACGAAGTAGATATACACAGTGCGCGGACGGGGCGGCAGCGCCCCCTCGCGGCGTGGAGGGCGAACGACACCTGCGGAGACGGAATGAGAATGGGAACAGAAATGGGAATGGGAAGGGGGATGGACAGGGAATGGGAATAGACAGGAAATGGGGATGGGAATGGGACAGGGAATAGGACATGGGCACAGGAACGGGACAGGGACAGGGAATGTGACAGGGAAACAGACAGGGATGCGGACATGGGCACGAGTCCATCCCTGCTCAGCGGGACCCAAGTGTGTCACGTGCTGTGAAACCAAGTTCGTGTCTGTTGTTCGTCCACTGAGCTTCATTTGAATATTGATGACATGTAAAGAGCATGATTAATATGCAAATTCTGCTGTTCTATATAATCAGTGCTGACCTTGCACTTACAAACACCCTTTTGCAGCTGCATAAACATGGCAAAACTTGCCCCTTTTTATTTTTTAACCTTTTTTTTTTTTTTTTTTTTTTTTTTTTTTGGTGGGGATTATGTTTGTGGGGGATTTGGGCTGAGGCCGCAGGGGAGGGTGTGTAAGGCTACTGATGTATTTGTTTCTATATGTTTATATCACACCCCCTCCCCATCCAGCAGCCCCCCCCCCCGGACAAACACTGCCGACGGTTTGGGTGGTTTGTCACGAACAGCCTTTACTCGCCCGCCGGTCGCGTCCCGCCTTCCTCGGTACAAAAGAACAGTTTAACAAAAGTGCCGCCCTGTGCGCGGGGGCGAGGGGGGGGCTCGGCCCCGCGGGGAGGGTGGGCTATGGCACTGTCGGCGTGGGGCCCCCCCGGGCGGGGGCTCAGGCAGGGAACTCCTGCTCCGGAGGCTCGTCCCGGGTGCCCTCAGCCACGCTGCCGGGGCCGCTCATCCCCCCCAGCGCGTCCTCGCCGGGCCCCGGCAGCGCGCAGGGGTGCACGAGGTGGTCCCAGTAGAGGCTGAGCGTGGAGTGCTCCTGCTGCTCCAGCTCCTTCAGCTCGTGCAGCTCCTTGGCGCTGGCCACCGGCGTTTGCACCTCGAAGGTCATCTCGAAGCGGCTGTAGTCCACATGGAAGGCGCCTTTCTCCAGGGACATGCAGGGCTCGAAGCGGTATCCCCAGAGGATCTCATCCTCCGTGTAGGAGGTGCGGGCTTGGCACGTCATTCCTGTGGGGAGACAGCAGCTGAGCTGGGCCAGGGCACTGCCACGAGGCCCCTGCTGCCCAACGAGGGGCTTCCAGCCCCGCATCACCCACTGCTTGGCAGAGCCAGCTTTGGCCCCAGGCATCTCTTGGGCAGGATGCCAGTCCTGAGCCCGGTTTTGACTGGCATCTCCAGGAGCCCAAGGGAGCTGCCTGTCCCCACCCTGACCCCTGCCCTGGAACACTTGCCTGTGGCTTCCACAATGCCCTCGAGGATGATGATGATTTCGAACTGCTCCCGGCGCAGCGACTCGGCCGACATGTCCCAGAAGGGGCTGTGGCGGTTGATAACATGGCAGATGATCTGGGGCTCCACCAGAAACAGACGGTCCTCCCCTGTGTCGTAGCCCAGGTTCAGCTCTGACTGCTCCAGGGGAATGAACTCCCCCTCGGCTGTCTGCCGGGACTTGATCAACTTTGCCCGGATCTTGGCATCCACCATGTGGCTTTCCCGCAAGTCCCCCACGCGGAACATCAGGCAGAGCTTCTCGTCACGGCGGGAGATAACGCAATTTTTGCTGAAGATGAGGGTCTGGGCGCGCTTCTTGGGCCGGGAGATCTTGACAAACATGCAGCCCACCATCATGGCATCGATCATGGAGCCCACGATGGATTGAGCCATCAGCAGAATGACACCCTCGGTGCAGTTGGCTGTCACCATCCGGGTGCCGTAGCCGATGGTCCGCTGGCTTTCCACTGAGAGGAGCAAGGCAGAGATGAAGCCGTCCACGTTCTCGATGCACGCCTGCCACTCAGGATCGCCCTGGTGCCCAACATCACCCCGCACCCAGGCGTCGAAGAAGTAGATGAAGCCAAAGACCACCCAGGTGACGATGTAGCACATCATGAAGACAAAGAGGAACCAGCGGTACTTGAGGTCCACAATGGTGGTGAAGATGTCCGAGAGGAACCTCTTCTTGTCCTGGATGTTGCCCAAGTTCACCTGGCACTTGCCCACCTTTGTCACGTAGCGCTGCCGCTGCCGCTTGCCGCTCTGGACCATGGGGTTGTCCTCCTCCAGCAGCTTGCACCGCCGGCTCGGCAGCCCCTCCGGGGCGGGGACGGTGGAGCTGCGGGCGGAGGTCTTGCCGCGTGACGAGTTGGGGATGTTGGCCACGCTCAGCGCGTGCAGCGGGTACAAGCGGGCACCTGGGTCCTGCGGGGCGGGTGGCGGGCACCAGGACGGGCGGCCACGGAGGTGCTGGGCAGCCAGGCTCCCGCGGCTCAGCGGCAGGGACGCCTCACTGGGGACGAAGCCGCCACGGCGGGGTGCGGACGGGTAGTTTGGCATCGGGGCGCTTCTCTTGGCAGTGGCAGTGGCGGCAGTGGCGGCAGCTTGCTGCCCGCCGTCCTCCACCAGAGCCCCGGGAGCGGCCGGGACGTCGGGCTGGGGGGGGGAAAGGAGCCCGTCGGTGAGAAATCGCCTCTGACGACAACCGCGAGCACCCGGCGGCACCCTGAGCCGAGGGTGCCCCAGAGCCCCGGCGCGAGCCATACCTTCTGGGGGAAGGTGCCGTACCGGCTGGTGTCGGTGGGCGGCCGGGGCAGGTAAGCCAGCATGTGCTTGGCCGTGGGGGTCTGCGCTGCAGGGATGGAGTTGCTGCGGCCACGGGGCTCCTCGGGGGCCCCCCAGCCGCCGGCGCCGCCGCTGTTGCGGGCGTAGGGGAGCACCATGGCGGCGCCGGGGCGGGGGCTCAGCCCCGGGCTGGGCGTGGGGTCCTGCCACGGGGGGACACAAAGTGGGGGGTTATTTTGGACACGGAGGGCAGTGCAGAGCTCTGGCCCCTCTCCACATCTCCAGGGGCTGGGGTCTGGGGGAAAAGCCCTTGCCCAGCAGTGCATGTGCCAGGCCCGGAGCTGTGCCGGGGCAGCTATGGGCTGGCTCCAGATGGCTAAGCCCATTAGGGGCCATAATTGCATTGCAAGGCCGGGGAAGGAGCCATCCTCCTCCGGTGGGAAGCCGCTCCAGCAGCCGACAAGCTCCGGGTAAGCGCCGTGGCTCTGCTCCACACTCGTTCTGGGCCATGGCTGTGGCTCCCGGTTCTCTAAGAAGCTCTGAGCAGAAATGGGTGGCCTCTGGACAGGCTGTGATATACAGATCCCATTGCTGGGCTCCTTGGGACAGGCTGAGTCCAGCCGGTCCCTGTGGGGAGATGTGATGAGAGGTCACATTCCTGGAAAATCAACCTGGAGTGCAGCGACCCATGGGGATAGGGGTGGGGATGGGGTGGGAGTGTGGGTGCTCTGCCCCCTCCAAGCATTCCTTGCTTCTGCAGAGCGGCAGGACCAGCAGTGCAGTGACAGGGGACATTAGCCTCCGGGCCAACCCCCCAGCTCCCCAGACCCCTGGGCACAGAGGGCACCCACCTCATGTCCAGGCAGAGTGGCTGCCAGCCCCAGAGACGTCGTTCTCGGCTTGTGGCTCCTGCTGCGCCCCGGCCACTGCCGGGCATCTTCCCACCGGTCGTGGACGGGAATCCTCTGCCAGGCTGTGCCACTGTGGCCAGTGGGAGGGAAGAACGGAAGGACAGGGAGCTCGGTGGCGGCCACCAATCCTGCTCCAGCGGCAGAAGGTCACCCGTTAATCTGTCTCAATGACAGGCACAATTACCTTGAGACGATTTAATCAGAAGGAGCAGGCGCCCCAATGCCTGGGGGAAGGAGCAGGAGGGGTTTCCCAGCGGATTTCCCTGTTCTTGCCCTTAGGATGATGCTCACTGTCTGCTCTTTAGGGATGAGATGGTCAGCAAGTGCTGGAAAACATCCCCCCCCTCCTGCCTGGTCTGTGCTCCCACACTAAACGTGGTCTATGCTCCCTCACCCTCTCCTTTTGGGAGGCCTCTACGAAGGTCCCCCCTGACACTCACTGGGGTGGACCCCCAGGGCCAGCAGGACTCAGTAATTTCCAGTCTGGCTCCCAATACCAGATAAGAAAGACGCGGATGAAGGAGAGATTAGTCTCTAATCTCCTGGGGAAGATGAATCTGCAAGCTGGACCCCGCGGAGGGGACGCACGTGGGGGTGGATGGGAGCTGAGCGCCAGCACAAAGTTGGGATTTTCCTGATGCTGTGGCCCATCCTTTTCATAGAATCCCAGAATGGTTTGGATTGAAAGGGCCTTAAAGATCATCCAGTTCCAACCCCCTCCCATGGGCAGGGACACCTTCCACTGGACCAGGCTGCTGTAGATGGGTTTTCCCCATTCTTCTGTTTGCAGCAGGGAGTCCCCTCCCAGACAACAGTTTCCTCACACACAACAGGCACCACAAGCCGTGTCCCGGGTGAGGTGCTGGACACAGGACAGGGTGATTAGTACCCACCTGCAAACCTGCTTCCCTCCCTCGGACATCCCCATCCTCGACGCAGCTCTCAAAGGCTCATTTGCATATTTATTTGATGACCAAATGAGAGTCGGGGCCTCCAACCAAGGCACCGACTCCAGAGAAGAGCCCGATGCCGGCTGTCCGCTGCCTGCATCCTGCCCCGGGTGCCCTCCCTGTCCCACCGCGGCCGGAGCTGCTGCTGCTGCTGCCGAGAGGCGCCTTCCCTGCCAAGGCTCTCGCTTCGGGGTGGCCGAGGCTCGGAGGATTTGCATGCCTTGGCTTAACCCTCCCGGGCACGGCGAGACCCTGCCCAGAGTCACGGCGGGGATGCACCCGGCTTTTCCTGCTGAGCCGGGCGCGCTTTTCTTTTAGCGTGGAAAAACCAACAACGGCTGAAAAACGACCGTGGCCACACCCCGGCGTTGGAGGAACAGGCTTGAATTCGCCCCCCCGGGCGGCAGACGCGGCCGGCGGCCGGGCGGACGCTGCTCCACAAACGTTAATGCCCGCGGCCGCCGCTCAGGGCGGCTAATCTGGGCCCAGAGGTTAGCGGGGCGGCGATATCATGGCCGGGGGCTGGTGGGCGAAGGCGCAGGCGGGGGGGATGCTGCTGGCCCTCCTCGGGTGGGTCAGCTCTTGCGTCACCACCTTTGTGCCGCTCTGGAAGAACCTCAACCTGGACCTGAACGAGCTGGAGGTCTGGAACATGGGGCTCTGGCAGGTCTGCATCACCCAGGAGGAAGGGGTGGTCGAGTGCCAAGCCCACGGCTCCTTCCTGGCGCTGCCCCCTGAGCTGCGCATCTCTCGCCTCCTGATGTGTGTCTCCAACGGGCTGGGGCTGCTGGGCTGCCTCCTCGCTGCCATGGGGCTGGACAGCTGGAGAGCCTGCGAGGACAAACCCGGGCAAAAGCAGCGTCTCCTGCTCGCTGGGGGAGCGGTGCTTGGCACCGCGGGGATTACCACCCTGGTGCCGGTCTCCTGGGTCGCCTACAACACCGTCCTCGACTTCTGGGATGAGACCGTCCCCGACATCGTGCCCCGGTGGGAGTTTGGGGAGGCCACCTTCCTGGGGTGGTTTGCCGGAGCGTTCCTCGCCGCTGGTGGGCTGCTCCTCGCCTGCAGCGCCCGCTCCACGAGCACCGCGACACCGCCGGCCCCTGCCTGCCACCAGCTCCCCACCACGCGGGGTCTGGGTGGGGGCCACCACCCACCCCCCAAAATCGCAGACCTGGTCATCTAGGGCCTCGCTGTGCCCTGCATGCCTCGTGGCTCTTCCCCTGGCAGGGAGGGCTCCTGCACGTTTCACAGGATGATTTGCTAATTGCTACAGCAGCCCTGCCACTTCCTCTCCTTTCTCTGTGTGCCTGCTTCACTTTTTCTCTGTTAAGGAGCAGCAGGTTTCCCCGCAGCACTCGCCAAGCGAGCGTGGGAAGGCAACAAGCAGTGGGCAGTACTTTGTACTGCTGGTGACACTGATGGGTGACACCGTGTTGGCAGCTCAGCACAGCAGCTCCTTCCCTGTGTGTCTGTGTCGCTCTGATGCATTTGCAATAAATTATCACGGCCATTGGCAGTGTGTGTCTGTGCTCTGAACATGCAGCTGCATCTTGCACGAGGGGGATGCAAGGGTCGTGAGGGGCAGCGCTGCCGCTGCAGCAATGTTTCAGTCTGTCCAGGACAGACTGGGGAAAAAAGAGAGAAAAAAGTGGAAAACAAGGGGGAGAGGGAAAATTAGAGACAAGGCAGCACCAATTTTAGTCCTGCTGCAAAGGCAGGATGGCAGCGGCTGTGTGCCCTGCAGTAGCCTCATCTTCTCATGGCTAAGATGATAAAGCCGATAATTGCCACAGACCTTTGTGTCAAAAGTTCCTCGACTGCATCATTTACCTGCACAGAAAAGGTAAGACCGGGGTTTTGCGGGTCTCCTTAACTGTTCCTTCCACATTTTCCTGATTCAGCTGTAAAAATAAAGGCTGCTTGCACACCTCTGCAACCAAGAGCACGGACCATCAGGCTGGATTAGTACCCAGAGTCCTGACAGGGGCCAGCCCGCTGCTACAGCACTGGTTGAAAACCGAGTTCACCGCTGGTTTAATCCCTGGAGGCTCAAAGCCGGGCGCGTGACCAATCTCAAGGAAGGCCCAGCCGACAGTGGCATTCCTGGGGGAAACAAAGTCCACTCCCCTCTAAGTTCGTTTTGAAACCTGCACTTTGCTCTGCTGAAGAGGAGAGGAAGGAACAGGTGGGCAGGGAGAGGGAACAGGGACGATCCCTGGGAGTTCTGATGCTTCAGGGCTGGGGGTAGAGCTGGTGGTGCCAACAGTGAAGGGGGAGAGATGAGTGCTCTGTCTTTCTGAACAAAGATCAAAGGGAGGTAGAACCCAGGGGTTGGTCTTCCTGGCCATCACCTTCCAAGGAGCTGCATGCCCTGCCAGTTGCCCTGAGAGGGCTGACCAATTCCGGGAGCAGAGAGGCTGTTTTGGCTATAACTCCCTTGGAAAATGGGAGGACAGGACAGAGAGCAAAGGATTCCAGCCTGGACACACTCCTGTCCAGCCCAACCCAAATATCAGGAATTGACCTGGCACGACTCTGTACTCCTGACACTCTTTGTTGTTTTTTTTTCAAGCAGGCTTTGGGGCATTTCAGCTCCTGGCAGCAACACAAAGAACAAGGTAAAGCCACTCATTGCCTGACAGTCAGAACAAAAGGACTCTCCTGTTTCAGGAGTCTCTCCCCAAACCACATCCTACTGCCTGCAAGCGCACAAAAGCTGCCTGGCAATGCCAAGCACTGGTGGGGAAGAGAGAGCACAGCTCCCAGCAGGTCACAGCTTGGGGTCTATGTTCAAGAGCTCCGTGTTTTCATCCCTCACAGGCTGAGCACCTTGAGCAGTGAGCTGGAGGCCTCATTCCACTGTTCTGTCATGACAACAGGGGAAAAGCTGAAAAAGCAACACCCTGGTGCCACAGCACCCCAGTCCCTGAGGAGACACAGGTCATTGGTGGGACACCACCACCTCCACCACCACTGTGGATAATGGCAGTTCTACTTCATCATAAAGTCACTGGGAGAGTGCAAGATTTTCCCACAGGAGCAGTTTATTCCTAAATAACGGGGAAATGCACACCAACAAAACAGTGGGACCATCCCCAGGCAGCTCTGCTAATGACAACACATTTTGTGCAGGACGAGCCTTAAGGCAGAACCCCAGAGCGAAATAAAGACACGGAGGGAGCTTTTTCATTCTAACATAGAACAAATGCTTTTATTGCACTGTTAGAAAACTCTGCATAGTCCCAACAAACAGGATCCCCCTCCACTGACTCAGAACTTTTGGCTTACAACAGCTGCCGCAGCCCAAACAGCTTAAACACAAGCACAGGGCGCCCGCAAAAGGAAATGCCAACAGGGCACTTCGTTAACAAAGTCAACAAAAAAAC